GATACGCTATAGTTTTCATTTTCTCCATTGACTCGAACCTCCGCACCCATAAGTCAAAGGAAAAAGCAAACGGACGTCTTTAGTTTCTTTCTTTTTCTAATTCTGCTTGCCGTATGATAAAAATAATAGTGAGCAGTGCAATTTTCCAAATGTAACATCAGAAAGAAGGAATTGAAGCAAAGGCTAGGTTAATGGCTGATAGATCAGACCTTTTTTTCACCTCTTCCTCATATCCTGTCCTTGAATTATTAATGTAGATTTTGTTTATTATAAACAACTTTCAAAGACATGATTATATATCTTGGGCACTTTCTAGTGCACAAAAACAAATGGGTCTTTCTCGATTGACATTTTAGAAATCGATGTATCAAAAATAATGAAATTCAGCTAGTAAAATTAACCTTGATATATTTGTTACTCATGTATTTTTCAGAAAAGTCTGCTTGAAGAAGAAACTGGGCAGAAGATTTAAATCCACTGGTCTAGAAGGTTCGACAATACCTAAGTATAATTCTGACTCTGTAACCCACTTAATAGCTGTAAATTGTGTGAATTTCAGAAATTGTTATGCCAGCTTACACATAATTCATAATGAAGTAGTGTTCTGAATAAAGTGGCCTAAACATGAAGTGTTTCCTTAACTCAGACCTCTGGTGGGGAAGGGGCATTGTAAGCCCACAAAGGGGGTGTCCTCCAAGTGTGTCTACAGGTGGCAAATTAGAAACAGAGTCAGCACTGTGTTGACTACAGGAATCTCATGGCTCCGTTCCATCACCAACCTGCACCCACAAGGACAGTAGTTACATGTTAGTCTGGCCCAAGCTGATTCAGCTACAATTTCCCCTGGGATTGTAGCTTTATTTTTGACCATAACCTACAGAAGACACATGGAGCCATGGCAAGGCTTCCTCCCAATTGTCTCCAATCCCTTTGCAATTCAACTGGAACCTGAGAGAGGTATAAGGCAAAGGACTTACCGGGCTCCTAATCCATTGCTTCTTCTGGCTCCACATGGTCCCTCAAAATTCACCAGAGCAAATGGTATACACTGAGTTTGGGGGCCAAGGCCTAAAAATAATATTTACCTACCTGATCTTTTTGGTATTTCTCCAGAGAAATGCTGTGGAGTGTAGAGTCAGTTGAAGGCAGGATTCAGGTGTCCCCACATCCCCGGGTCAAATAGCATTGCCACCACTCATTCTCCACAAAGAAGAATGTCAGACTGTGCTAGATACATGCATAAATATTTTCATTAACCCTCATAATGACCTAGGAAAGGTTACCATTGTCTTCTCTTTGAAATGAGGTAACTGGGGCTCAGAGAGTTATTTAAGAGATCCACTCAGTTGTGTCAGGTTCCATGGTTAGTGCTCCTATATGGTGAGCAGTGGACTTGAACTTGGAAGCTTGGTTATTTTGTTAATTGGAGCTGAGAAAGGACACTGGAGCTCATGTGTCAGTTAGTTTAGAGGTCCCACGCACTGTGACACTAACATTCTCATTTATTCTCTCTACTTCCAAGTGACTATGAGACCATTTGGAAAACTCAAATTTCAGATAACTTGTCTGATGTCACAGCAACAAATTGTACCTGTATTCATATGGCAAAGATCTAGGTCTTTTTAACTCTTTTAGTTGAAGTGGTGGAACCTTCCTCCTCCTCTCCCTTGCTCTATACCTCCAAAAAGGGCAAGACCTGTACTAAAGAATCTGAAGAAGGGTCAGAAACAGTCCACGGGAGAGAAAGTCCTTCCTTTTTAATACAAATATTTGCTACCATACAATGTTTGATTCCCCAAATATCTCCCTTTGAGTAAAACTGAATCAAAGAATTTCTTCACTCTCACTTTAATAAAACTAGGCAGACATACGGTTTACAATCTACTTTATGGAACAAAGGCAACACTGCATTTCATTAATGAAATATTAAGTAGGAAGAGAGGCTTCTGGCTATCATTCACTCAGTAACTTTTTTTTTTTTTTTACAAAAACTATAATTTACAATCTTTATATTAGTTAATATATTATAAAAAGAAGGCAACATACTCACTTATTTTATACATCCTGTTTGGAGTCTCAGGTTTCCTTTGCCAAAGCTTGTCTTTGTGACAATTTCTTTGGAGCCAGCCGTGGGCTTCCCTGAATGTGATACAAAGATGCTCATCCAACTAACCAATGCGATTTCAGAGGTTTTGGGATGGCATCCAGTGGTATGCAATTTACATGAACATTTTGGGTATTTGATTCTCAAACGCCCAAGTGACTAAGGGAAAGAAGTGAAAATGACTTATTAAAATTTTAAGCATTTTTCTGAATCTGAAGAACTGTCTAACTTATCAAATGTGTGTAGATTAAAACAAAAAAAGACTGCAAACTTTCAAAATAAAGGGTGGGGAAACATAACACATGAGACATTTAATTAGATGGTTTCTCAAATATATATGGCTTTAAATTTAATTAGATAATTTATCATATATAACTTTAAGTGATAAAGTAACAAAAAGAATGGCTTGAAAATAGACCATTTTAGCAAAAATTTTAAAAGTTGCAGTATCCTAGAGATGATTGGGAAAAAAGCCAAGAATCATTGCATGAGATATAAGCACTTATAAATTTTGACAAGGGGAGGTGTTCTAAAGTAGTATTTTCCAACAGTGAAAAAGATTCCTCAGGCTTATTGATTCAAAGTCTCTTGGGCCTAAGCCATCTGCATTTTTAAGAAGCATTTGGTGATTCTTATACACACAGACAGTGGAGCATTTTTGCTTCACGAAGCAATAAATTGCAAATGTTTGAGAGCACTGGAACATTAAAAAACAAGAAAAAAATCTTACACCAAAAAAATAAAATTCTTATGCATAAAGCCAGGACTTAAAACAGTAGAGCTATTGTCATTGAAGTGTGGCTGTGCTCTCTCCAATCCATCTCACCCCAGCAGGGAGTTTAAGAAACACACCTCAAACACCAATTTTCTAAAGCTGTTATTTTCTCTCAAGTGCTGGTTCTCAGCCTCGGCCTAACGCTGGAATAACATGGGGCGGGGGCGGATTTAAAAGAAATACTGATGCCTGGGGTCCCACTCTCTGCCCTTGGAAGTTCTGATTTCATTAGTCTGGTTTGTATCATCTCTTCCCAGGTGATAGTTCTGTTCAACCTAATTTGAGAATCGGTTCCCATCCTTTCCATGTGTTATTAGATAGTCCTTTCAACCTCTTTATTTCTCTTTACCTCTGCCTAATTATCTGTGGTGAATGAAGAAATAGAACCTATTATATTAAATACATTGTGATCAGAAAACTGGTCAGCTCAAATACCAAAGGGCTGGATGGAGAGGTGGGGGCAGAGCAAGAACCAAATAATCTGCAGTTTTTATTGCTTCTAGGCAAAGTCGACTCTATGATCCCACAGTACCAGTTTAAATTAACAGGACCTGTAATAAAAGGAGGCCAGAAGGGACTCTGGGTGTGATGTGTCATGGAGTTATCGATAAGAAAAAGTCCAGGAATGATTTCATGTCATTAATATACAGGTAATAATAAACTAAACACACAATGAACTTTAAAATACATTTCCATTTTAATTTAAAAAATAAATAACAGCAAATCTGAACAAAATTTTTCTATTTCAATGCACATCTTCCTAACTGTCCATGTTTGAAACCCAAGTAGTTTACAAAATCATGGCAACAGAGCTTTAGATAAGGTTTGGATGAACAACTCACAAGATATGATTAATAGATGAATTTGGGCAGCATGTATTGGAGACCACCTTTGGCTGAATAATAAGAATCAGCCTGAAATCATTAACCTAAAAGGAAAACTATCTTTTTCCTTTTGTAGATTATAACTGATAGGTCCACTCTCAACCCACCCCAAAAGGAACTTATGTTTTCCAACTTAATTTTAAAATTCCACTTGGTCTGAAAATCACATGGTTTCAAATATATACATATATATATAAATATTTTTTTTACACGAGGGAACTGAGGCCCAGGGACTGTTTACAAATTGACTTGCCAAATTTACACAGTATCGTTTTGTGTTGATGGCAAGGTTTTTCTCCCCTTTTCATTATTCTCAAGAAGTGAGAGGAAGGAAGGCACAAATTTAAAGGCCCTTCAGAACACCTTTTACAAAATGACAGCACGAACGCGAGGGAATCTTCTGGGGTACTGGAAGTCATCTATGTGTGGATCTGAGAGGTGGTGACATCAGTGTACACCGATGTAAAATGTCATCCATCGGAACACTTAAGATTTGTGCACTTGTACGAAAGTTATGTCTCAATTTTAAAATAAGAAATCACCCCATGATCGGGGGGTAACTAAAGGAGAAGGACTCTTGTATCTTGGAAAGAGTTTACAACGGTAGATTGTTATTTCAAATTCTGCTTTTAGCTCTTGTTTCATCCTAAGGATTTGCAGTATGACAACAGCAGTTTTTAAGGGTCTCCCGGATAGGAGAAAATGACTGAAATTCTGGAGTCAAGGTATGAAGGTGGAAGAGGAGGCTAGCCACAGCCCAGTAGCCCAGTGCACTTAGGGTTTCACGACCTCCAAGACCACTCACTTTCCCCTCCCGCAGTACACCGCAGTGGTGTACAGGCTTTGTGTTCTGGGGCTGTTTCCCACCGAACATGTTGACTGCCACGCCCTGAAGGTCTAGTGTGGCGTCTGGCAGTTAGAAAGAGCCTAATGTGTGATGAATAAAACAATTCTTGGAAAAAAAAAAAATAAAAGCAAGATGAGTCACCAGGACAGAGAAAGAAGGGATTAATAAACATCCAATAAACCAAGATCCACAAAGGTTATGACAATTTGGGGGCTAATTTCAATGTTTTTCAATACTCTAGAGTTCTTATCAAGGAATGTAAAGATCTGTTCAGTCTCTATTCCCTGCCCCAAATCTCTCCTATCTTTACTCATAAGACATTTCTTTGCAGTCTTCCTCTGTGACTTCAGGATAGACGTTATTCATGTTTTGTCGAATATGACTCTTTCCTATCCAATGGCTTCTCAAGGAAATGAAACTTCCAATGTCTCCTGTAATCTATTATTCACAACATTACCTGGAATCCTTTGTTTTCAGGCAGGAGACGCCTAGTATTTCCATTACTGTGGACAGGGAATCACATGGGAAAATGTTACATTAAAAAGGGACAGTCCCTCACATGGGTGTCAGGTTCCCCAGCCTCTCGTCAAAGACCAGACTGCAGGACTCACTTCCGCTGCTCTGAAGTGACATGCTAGAGGTCTGGGTTTTTTTCACGACCCAGTTTACATCTTTCTCTTCTAATGGCAGCCTGAAAAATAGATGAAGCATGTGAATCTCCTCCAGCCAGTCTGCAGGGATACTTCTCACGAGTGGCCCCAGGTTCTGCGTATGCCCTGTGTAGCTTTTCTGTTCCTTCTCTTTATTCTCGAGTTCTTTCCACTTAAAATCCCCTTCAGTTCTTATTAACACTGCATCTCTAGTCATATCTTTTGGAGAGACTATATGTGCAGAACTAACCTACGCTCACAATCCAAATTATCCTGAAAAGAAAAAAAAGAATATCAATAATGCTATTAGACAGTCCCAGATCCGGCTGAGCAGAGGAAAGAGGACCATTTGATAAGTACCTACTACTTTATACATTTGATCTCATTCGAACCTCACAACAACCTGTGTGGCAGGTATGATCCCCATTTTGAAAGGTGAAGAAATGGAAGCTCAGAAAATTCCGAATAATTTCAAGGCGTTTGCAAAGTTCACAGAGGACATAGCTGGGATGATCTGAAACCAAACGGGTTTACTTCCAGCACCCAGGTTCTTCCCATCATACTTGCACTGCAGGTTCTCCTGGGTGGAGCGAAGACTAAACTCTCCCTCATCATTTTTAAATATTCATACTCGTTTCTTGAGGAATGCAGGACACACACCTCAGAGGTTTTACTTCCATGACCCCGTGATGAATTAATATGTTTCTCTCAAAAGAGGAGTGGACAGGCACACAAACACAGAGGCAGACAAGCAGATCCAAATTCTTGGAGGTGAAATTTCTCTCTCTGCTCTCTCTGTCTCAGAGGAAAGGGGATCAGCCAGACTGTGGAAGAGACCTGGTGAGCCCCGCCCCCCATGGTGACCTAGGGTGTCCACAGTCAAAAGGGTGTCTACTTGGCCATAAACACCTAAGCAGTACAGAAATATCTGGGCCCTTTCCACTGTTGTTTGGCCTAAGGGTAGAAGTTAAAAGCTCATCAGGGTTGTCTTCTAGATCTGTGTTATCTGGGTGTGGCCTCAATGAGCAAGCTGAGTTATTAGTAAGAATCTGTAGTAGGGTTTTCTGTGTTCAACTTCAATTTCTTTATCTACAAAATAAAGGGGTTGTTTATATGACTTTTAAGGCCCTTCCAGCTCAAAACATCTTTACCTGTGTGTGGCTGTTTGTGTGCGTGTAGGTAACATTTCATCATCTGAATCACCCCATTTTTTCTTCTGAAAGGAGTACTGATAATAGTACCATAAACACGTAATCAAATTAAATCTACAGTCAAGAGGAATAAATAATCAAAAGGAAATATTGCACTGTATTCTCCAGGGTAAAATTGGATGTGGATAGGGCTGTCGAGCCGTTCACATGGTGTCTGGAAGAGAAGCTTTTGAACCCGGGCTCCTAAGTCCCTTATATCCAGTGATATGAGCTCAGAGGAGGTAACAGGACAAGAAACTGTGTGTGCAAAAGAAAGAACTTCAGAAGAGTCCACAGCAGGACGGGGCGACTGCCGTGCAGGAAGGGCCATTAGGAGTGTAAGGGACTCCTGGAAGGGGCAGGGACAGCTTCCCTGTGCCACCAGGGGGTACAGGATGGGGGAAGCTGAAGCTCAGGGGTCATGGGAGTCCATGGCTTTTCAATAATGACAGCCATGCACACTTAAAATCAGCCAATCTTCATTAAAAAGATATTCTTTTCCTCAAAGAGACACAGTAGACATTAGAAAGGTATGATTTCAGCTACCAAAGTACTTGATATCGGTCTCTCCCAGTATGTTATATGGGGTAGCATAAGTCCACGTGATAAAACTAAGCCTTGAGCACAGCTTTTCAGAAGCAAAGCGCGAAATCCGTCCAAGGACCAGGTTACTAGGGTTGCTCCACAACCACCATCACCGAAGAACTTATCCAGGCTGTTGTAGGCCTCGGGGCTCTGTGCCAGAGGTTGAAACTTTAGAATGGTGAGGGCGCTCTCTCCTTTGAAAAATGCACAAGATATGGCTACTTCTGGAATTCCCCGAGGAGTGGAGACGTGGCGTAGCCTCAGGCATTGATCAAACAGAAGATTTCAAAAGGACACCCAGTTTTGAGCTAGTGAACCTCATCCCAGAGCAGGAAAGGCAGTCGGCTGGGGCTGGCGTGATGAGGACACTGCCTTCTGGAGGCCAGTTCTCGGGCGTCAGCTGTCCCAGGCACTTTGAATTTCAGAAAGAGGATAAGATCTTTATTGGGATCCAGGCTCAGAAGAAAGGACGCCAGATTTCCGAGCTTTGGGAGGTGGCGGGGGTGGAACTTTGGCTTCTCTTCGCACAGGCAGTGGGGGAGCGATCTGAGGGGCAGACACACAGAAGTAGAAATTAGTCTTATCTTTCTTCCCAATTCTGCCTTCTTCTCCACATTTCTAACATTCTGCTTTAGCTTTTAATTGACCTGAGTTATATACACAGCCTTTGCCAGGTGAAAGGGGAAATAAGAATGATTTATACTCCCTTGTTCACTCTGAGTTACTCTGATATACACCGACACTGCTATATCCCAAAACTTGGGTACTTGGCACACATTAAGTAGGCACTCTATAAATATTTGTTGAATGAATGAAGGGAACCCATCAGAGACCATTCCAGAATGATTGTCACTCACTCAGAAGACGTGAACTCTTCACATATAAACCAGAACTTTTTATTTCACGTACCTGCTCCCAGGGCGAGGTACAGAACTTTTTATTTCACGTACCTGCTCCCAGGGCGAGGTACAGAGAAATGCCTGACCTTCAATCAAATGAACAGGCAATACTTGCATATTGTTCTTTCCTGTTAAAAACTATCCTATCTTTTATGGTTTCAGGAATAAACCAAGAATTGATTAGAGTGACAAGTCTACAGAAAAAGTTGCCCACTAAAAAGCGAGGAAAATCCAAGGCTGCATTCCCGTGAGTGGCGGTCTCTGACCCCAGTGTCAGCTGTCATTCCCCTACCTCCTCGGAGTTCCTCTGGCTACTGTCATAGGGCTTGCTTTTGGGGGGAGGGGGAGGGGGCGCCGTAGCCGTCATCAGCCCGTCTGTCTGCAAAGATGGGGAGCCTAAAATGATACAAGTGAATGAAGGCACAGAGAAGAATTCATCAAAGCATCTCACGGAACTTCTGCTTGCCACAGTAACGCCTGAACCAACCTGGTCAATCGAATTGCTAAGCTCATATTCTATGGTTTCTGTGGACAGAATGAAAAAAGACCTCTTCCCCTTTGTGACAAATGAAGCACCCTTCATTTACCAGAAGGCTTCACAAGGAGTTCTGAGGTAAAAATTCCATTTTTGTTCAGGGATTTTACTACTAAGCTGAAGATGAGAACATTTTCTAGAACTTAGGGTACTACCCTGTTCTCTGATATATCCCAAGTGCTTGGGAAAAATGTCTGCCACATGGTAGGTGGCCAGTAAATACTGGTTAAATTTCACTGAACTGTCTTAGTGTTCTCACGTAAAGGGTGCAATATCCCCTTCCTCCAGGAAACCTTATCTGATTATCACTAACTCTTGGTCGACTATTGTCTCCCATTTGGCACGACGACTTACCCCACCAGGCCTGCTCTGTGCCAAGAGAATCTAGTAATTCTTCTCAGGCAGTGTGTACTGCTGATTCCCCAAGCCTGAACCGTAAGTAGTTTATAGAATGGGTCTATTTCTTGTCCTTATTATGAACTCTTCTCTATATAAGGTACAGTTCATAAAATGTTTGCTTCCTACCTGGTCCTCGTCCAGATCTACCTCATTTATACCTTCATAATTGAAAAAGGGAAGTAAGACCCTTTGGATCACTATAAAGAAAAGTTCAGTGAGTCCTAGCAAACCTGAGGAGTCGCTGCCTAACTCTAGACTAACTGCATTATATCCACTACCATTGAATTGAATCAATTTAACACTCCATTTCCCAGTAAAATGAATATAAGGAATTTATATATAGGAAAACTTACTTAGGGTCCTGGTAGCTTTAGGAGTGAGTGGAGGTGGGCTCAAAGGTGTTGACTGAGGAGGTGAAGAACCATGAAACGGTGTCAGCCGATTGTCCAACAACTGGAGACTCTTTGGCCTTTGAGCTTTTCTGGCTGGGCTCTAGCATGGGGGTGGGGAAACAGGGAAACGTTCTCATGGTGAGGAAGGCTGAGCTCTTCAGCGCTCTGAATAACCTCATCTGCTGAGCAGAAACTTATTAAAGGGCATAATTCCAGAAGCCATTTTTAAGCTTACCACATTGTCATGTGGTGGGAACCCTGTCAGAGACACTAACAGACCATCCCTGAACCATAGATTATTTTCTGGTCAGCTATGGACTTGATTTTGACCGCAGTTGGATTGTGTCATTTAGGTTGGAAACGAGGCACCCTGCTTCTCAGGGAAAGCTGGTCTTGCCACACTTAACAACCTGATGTGGGTTATGGAAAGAAAAGTACCTTTTTTTTTTTTAAGTTAAAAAAAGAGAAATGACAATACGTGGACTGACTCATGAAACATGGTGGCGAGAACCACAAATTCCAAGCATAAACCCACATGTTTACATTGTGGGTACAGGATCTTGCACCATTATTGATTCAGAGACTCAGATTCGCTGTACGTGCTTTTCTTAGTACAGTCTGAGATCTGACACGACCACAGGCTGCGAGTCCTGAGACAGCCGCGGACAGGCTTCTATCTGGTGACTCAGAGCTATAAAGTGAATGATGGGACGACTGTCTGCAGGGAACACACTGGGAAACCTCTGGTACTTTTGTTCTCTTTCTTTTCTTTTTTTTTTTTACCATCAGATCAGGTTCTGGTGCTTTCTCTGCAATGACCTGAGACTTGCTCAGGCTCCATTCTTTTCTCTTCAACTTGCTGATCCGGTTCTCACTGTCCTCTTTGAGGGGTAGATCTTCAACTCTGGCACCTGACGAGGCCCTGCGCTCCAGAAGTGGCTCCAGCATTGACCTATCAGCCAAGAACACGGACAAATTGCAAAACACTGATCACCTGACAGTCAAACTTTATTCCAAAAAGACAAGGGGTGATGACTCCTCAACCTAATCCTAACCTGTGACTTTCCTCTCAGGTTCTAAATCTGAATTTGCAGCTGCCAACTGAACATCTTGTATGTGTACAGAAATGAGACTATCAAAGTATGGGAAAAAATATTAGTGACTATCTTATCCCAGGAAGAGAAGGTCTTATTAAACCTACATGCAAAGACAGAATTCATACAGTAGAAGATGAATAGTCAGCTTTAGGTCGTGGATAACAAACAGCACATGCTTGGGAGCCAGACAGCCATGTTCAAATCCTACCTACACTTACTCGTTGGGTGACCCTGGGCAGATAACCTTGTCATACCTCAGTTTCCTTATCCATAAAATGAGGATAAGAATAGTACTTATCTCACAAGGTTTATATAAAATACTTAGAACTGCCTAGCATGTAAGAGTGTTCCTTAAATGTTTTTTAATTACAGTAATAGATTTTCAAGCATAGTAGTAAAAGCTGATTCAAGAATCATCACATATAGAGAGAAAGAGTTTAATGCAAAACAGGAGAGTCTCAAAATATCTCTCTCAAAATTATTACTTACAAAGGGAAGAACAATTACTACAAAGAAAATAAAATGAACGAAACCTTAATTGCATGATCAATTAACATCACTAAAAAGAGACAAATAGACATTATGTGCTTCTGGATATGATACTGAAAAAGAACACAACATCACACAAAAATGTATAACCTGAATCCTAAGCATGAGGAAACTTTGGACAAACCCAAATGAAGGGAAATTCCATAAAATAACTGGCCTGTAATCTTCAAAAGTTTCAGTATTATGAAAGGCAAGGAAAGAAAACTATTTCAGAATAAAGACCAGAGAGACACGGCTAAATATAATTTGTGATTCTGATTAGATCCTGTACCAGAACTTGCTATAAAAGACATTATTGGGACAACTGACAAAACTGGAATAGGGGTTGCAGCTTAAAGTACTGTGTCAATGTCAAATTTCCCAAATTTATAGGCATGTAAGACAATCTGCCTGTTCTTATAGTATGTTATGACCTACTCTCAAATGGTACAGTGGGGTCAGTGGGAGGGGGAGAGACAGAGAGAGAGGGAAAAAATATGACAAATTTTTAAAAAAAGATGTTATATCTTTATACTGGGTATTGCTTACAGCTTCTGAATGGGTATTTAATAAGCCCTGGTTTGATTAAAAATTAGTAGGTTTTGCTCCTAAATAAAGTTTGGAGGGATGAATAACCAGAGACAGAGAATCTTTAGAACAGTGAAATGATTCTACAATGGTGAATACATGTCATCAAACATTTATCAAAACTCAGAATGTCCAACACCAAGAATGAACCTAATGGAAACTGTGGACTTTGGGTGATAACAGCGTGTCAATATGGGTTCATCAACTGTAACAAAGGCATCACTCTGGTGGGGGGTGTTGATAATGGGGGAGGCTGTGCATATGGGAGACAGAGGTCTATGGGGAATCTCTGTATTTTCTGCTCAATCTTGCTGGAAAACTAAAACTGCTGTAAAAAATAAAGCCTGTAAAAATACCCCTAATCTTTAATATGAATAAGGCAATATAAAAACAGCTATCAGATCTTAGTATTCAAAAATTTAAAGCTTCTGTTCAGCAGAAAGCATCATTAGTAAACTATTTGCTGTACATAGATGGCAAATATCTTTAATATGAGAGCTTTTAAAAATCAAGAAGAAAAATATGAGTAGCTCAATTTTTTAAACTTGTCAAAGTCTGTAACCAGGTATTTCATGAAAAAAATTAGTCCAAATAATTTTTGGAAATTTAGTATCACTAGTTATTAAATACGTAAATATTCAAACAAGATATTTGGAGGGGATAACTGGGCAGAGACATTTTTATATTTTATTATGAAAAATTTCAAACATAAAAAAAAGTAGAGAGAATATAATAAATGTATCCCTCAGCATTGACAGTGATCAACTCATGGCCAATCTGGTTTCTCATACACATTCACTCACATTCTCGTCCCTCAGTGGATGAATTGGAAGCGATTCCTAGATGTCACATCATCTAACCTATAAATATTTCAGTGCGTATCTCTACAAGACAAGGACTCATCCTCACAACATAACTAGGGTTCCATCATCACTCCTAAAAAATGAATGAGTCTGTAACTTCATCAAACATCCGGACAATGTTCAAATTTCCTGGTTGTCTCATATATATATATAAGTTTGGTAAATGGTTTGTTTGAATCAAGATCCAAACGAGATTCACTCAGTGTATTTGGTCGATGTGCTTCTTAAGCCATTTTAAGCCTTTTAATGCTCTAGGTTTCCCTTTGGAAAAGCACTGATTTATATTCAACACTAAATACTTAATAGTGTTAAATACTCATCATCAATATTAAAGTAAGCAGTAGGTCACAACATGGCATGTGCAATGATTTTCTACTTGTATAAAATACATATGTGCTATTTTTGTATTATATAAGTAAAACTTAACAGCGGTTATTTGAGTGATGAAGTTATAAGCATTTTTAAAAAAAATTTCTAGAACTTTGAAAAATGTCTCCACATACATATATTTTTATAATTAGTAAAATATTATTTAAACATAGTATCTTTAAACAGAAAGAACACAATTATAAATGTGCTTCTTTAAAATACTTTAAATGTGAACATAAGGAAAGGCACTCCATGTTTCTGGCAAGGAAGGCTCAACATCAAAAAGCCATCAATCCTCCTAAAGTTAGTACATAAATTTAACGTGATCTCAATAAAAAGAGCAATAGGATCCAAGACAACTTACGCCAAGAATGAGCAACTGGGTAAATTCTGGAAAGGATTACTATAAATTAAAAACCTTTAAAATCTATAAGAATTAAAGCTGTTTAGCACTACTGCACTAACACACAGGTAGATCAAAAAAAATGGGGGGAAAAGTCCACAAATAGACTAAAAGACATATAGGAGTTTGATTTTTTAAAATAAGGTTGACATTTCAAATCAGTAGAGAAAAGATGGATTACTCACTAAATGTTATAGAGAGATGTGGGTAGTCTCCTGAGGGGAAAAAATGTTAGCTCCATATTTCATACTTTATATTGGAAATTCCAAAAAAAAAAAAAAAAAAATCACAGATTTAAATGTGAATAGTGAAATTCTATAATTAGTTTGTTTTTGTAGTCTTGTAGTGGAGAAAGCCTTTAATTATAATATAAAATTCAGAAGTTACAAAATCAAATATTAATTTATTTGCATATAAAAATCAGCACAACAAAAAAAAAAAATAGAAGCAGAGTCAAAAGACAAAAAAGAAATTGGGGAAATATTTCAACTCATATCAGAGACAAAGGGCCAATATCCAAAAGAAAAACGTACACAAAATATCTGACTATAGTTCACAGAAAATAAAAGACAAACAGCTACTAAAAAAATAAAAAGATGCTCAACTTCATACAAAACAAGATCAAAACAAATTTAAAAAAACCCTATATTAAGAAAATATTTTCCATCTATTGGATTCCAAAAATCAAAAAGACCAATAATATACAATTTAGTGGAGAGGTGTGGGTGACCAGGCAGCCTCTGTATATTGCTGGTGGGACTGTAAAGTGGTATAATTTCTATGGAAATCAGTTCAGGAAATATTTTGAAAATTGCAAATATATAGGTTTGACAGAGCAATTTCACTTTGGGAATTTTTCTCATATACTTGTACATTTACAAAATAATTTATTTTTAAGGTTCCTCATTGCCACATCAACTAAATGTCCATCAACAGGCACTAGTGCCATGCATCATGATACAGACATAACATGAGATGGCTGCAGCTCAAAAAGAAAAAGAGAAAACTATGTTCTGAAATGGAATGATTTTCAAGATCTAGTAAGTGAAAAAAGCAAGGTAAACAGAGTATTAAATGCTGCCATTCATATTAAAAGAAAGTGTGGGGAAGAATATTTATTTAGGTATTGCTTCTGTATAGATAAAGAGCTGCTGGAAAGGCAGTGAGAACCTGAACGCTAACAGCACTTGCCTCTGGAGACTGGTAGTGATAAGTTAGGTAGGAGTCAAGGATTGATGGGAGATGTTTTATGCTACATCCTTTTGTATCTTTCAAATTTCCTATCATGGGATTATATTATCCATTCATAAAATAAATAAAAATTTAAAAATTATTTTTGAAAATTGAAATGGTGAAAAAAACAAGCAATGACTACGAGTTAATGTGAAAAAAATAAATCAGGATGTGATTGGGTGGGTGATAGGATGTGACAGGATTATGGGTGATTTTTGGTCCATTTTTCGTAACAGTTGTTATCATTACGTAAATAATGATATTCCTCATGAGACAGACAATGAGAATGACCCAAAGGCTAATAACCCGTAAATTTTGAATTATTTCCCTTATGAGGATGATAAATCTAAATTGACCACATTTCACTTTGGTGACCAAAAGGCAAACATTACTAAAGAGTTACCCCACGCTTCCTGGCAATTAAAGATCAAAACCTTACCCATCAGATCCTGGTCTGGAAGGGGCATTATCAGATGAGTTAGAAGAGGTGGAAATCACAGAGGACGTCACCGAGGTGATGGACAATCTTCGCAGCGTAGATGACATAATGTAGGGTAGCACAATGGACCCTGTGCGGCTTTGCTTCCTCTCGGTCAAGTTGGGTGGCTGGAGAAGACATGACCCCTCATGATCAGCTGGCCTAGAATTCAGCCCATATGAACAGGTACAGATCTCCTGTTGTTTGTGGCAATCATATGGATTGGCTGGCAACCCATTCTGACTGGTTGATGCCTGTACTGCTTTAGTCAAATATTGCAAATACTTATATTCTTAATAATATACACAACTTAGGTTAAACCTACCTTATTTCTAAAACTAGAGAAAAATTCACCATAATTTGCTGCCAGCCATATGAGAGAGAAAAAAAACAATTTGTTCATTACGCACCAATAAAACAGCAAAACTCTGCATGGTTCTCCAGCTTAGCTTCTTTTGGGCATTTAAAAAATGGAATATTGGCTGAATAGCTGAGTTTTAGATTGAAACTACAGACCTGACACTCAATCTGATGAATCTTAGGAAGTAAAGGAACATTAATCTATTTTCATGAGAAATGTCTCTAGTAGGATCAATTATCCTCATATGCCACTATATCAAATTTACATGCAAATGTTGACCTGCGTCTAATAAAAACTAAACTCGTAAGATAAAAGTCACAGTCTCTGCCATCTAGGAACTTGTGTAAAAGACGAATGCTCCTGGAAGAAAATTCTTAACTGGCAGTAGGTTAGGAGGTAAATTCTTACAAATGCATGACTGAACACCTGGATGACCGAAAAAGATGATCGAAAACATACTCTAGAGAAAAATATGATAGACAAAGAGGTATGGGGACAGGGCAGAGGAATGCGTGAAAAAAAATTCAGAGCTATGATTGGAGGAAAGAGAATTTGAAAATCAGGCCTTCAAGAATAAGACCATTAAAGACAGCAGAGTAAACTCATGTTTAAATGAGCAGATAAATAAAGCTGGAACCAAGCATATAATCAACTGTCGGAGAGAAAAGGTTAGCACGACTTCTTCACTCAACTTCTCAGGAGGAAAAGAAGAAAATTATAGCTGTGAGAAATGTGTTAGAACTGTCAAAACGTTATGAAATCAGCTACAAGTATTACGAAATGTTCTTCACAATTCTTTCTCCCCTTAGAAGGTGTGAAAGTGTAAACTTTTCATCAAAATAAAAAATATTAGGAAAAACGCTAAGATTTGGGCTAGATAGGACAGGAACAACCAGTGTCTGGGATTAGGAGCGCCCCAACTTCTAACAGAGTGGTTTTCAAAGTGTGGGCCTTCGACCAGCACTCAGGCCCCACCCCAGACCCACTGAATCAGAAACCCTGGGGCTGTGGCCCAGCAATTTCGGTTTTGCCAAGCCTTCTCGGTAGTTCTGAGGGTTATTCAAGTTGGAGAACCCCCTCATCTAGCACTAGGATGGTTGATGGCCATCAACAGTAGACGATGCCTTCTCTGACCTGCCCCCAGTATATTTCATGCCAATGCTATACTATTTTGACTCATCTGAAAAATTGGGCAATATCATAAAAGGTAACAGAGACTGGAGAAAGTGTATAGGTTTAGACAAAGCCTACCAGTGTTATAACCCCATAGAGCTTTTCCACTTTCTCCTTGAGTTCCCGGAAACAAGACGACAACCGGTCGTGCAGCGGCTTGAGCTGCTCCGTCAGCTTCTCTCCGTGGATGCGGATCCCCTCTGTCAGCAGAGGCATCTAGAAAGAATGGAAATATGGTTTAGGGAGAGGGGTAATTTAGATTTGAACATTGGGGAAGAGTGCGGGTGGGGATGGCCAGGTAAACAGGCAGACACGGCACATATCAAAGGAGAATGCTACTTGTCAGTGTAGGGCTTGGGAGCTGGAGTCCTTGGGTCAATGATGCAGAGAAATACACACACCGAGGATACAAGCAGGCCCTGACCTGGGAAGGGCTGCCAGACAAGGCAAACCCACCTGAGCCCAGGAGCATTTCTGTGGATGAGAAACTGAGGTTTAAGCCTTAGGCTGAATGGATGGCTGTATTTTCTTCCACTGTTCACTAGTGAGAAAGAGAAAAGCTGGCCAACATCTCTCAGCTGGAAATACAGGCCAGGAAAACTGGGAGACTTGAATCTCACCTCTAAGGAGGCACTTCTCGACCTGTGCAGTCTAATGGAATGCTATTCCTAGGTTGCTCTGACAAACGATTAGATAGGATGTGATTCCAAGGGTTAGAAAAAAAGTAGATTTAAGCCATAGGGAATATCCCGGACTCATGCAGTGGAGTGGAAAGGCGTCCAGCCACACACCTCCGGTGAGGCATACCTGTAAGGCTATCAGTTGCTTTAGCAGCTCAATCTTCTCCTGGTCTTCAGGATGCTCCTGCAAGTACTTTTCTGTAAAAAAAGCCTAAAAGCAGAGCAAATGCAAGTACTAATTAAAACACATACCTACATGTGTATCTGACTCTAAACGAAAGGGAGGGAAACCTAGAAGGGTGAAAAATGTCTTCTGTTCTGACAAACTAGGAATAAGGAAATATTCAATCCTTTCCTGGGACTGCCCTTATACTGTAGTGAACAACTCTAGAAGGTACGTGCTATTTTGTGGTTTTTCTGGTATCATGTAGCTCCTAGCAAGAGTCCATTTTCAACAATCACACACACACACCAAACAATAAACTGCGGCAGAGCAGAATGTCATTCCTTAAAGTAACTTTTCTAAAGCACTAAGAAAAGACCGAATGACAATATCTATTAGATTAAGTATATAGATATTATAAAGGAACAAAAAGTTAATAGGCTAATGATGTGGCTGATAATTTTTCTGCTCTACCATGTGATATAGGCTGTATCAGTTTTTTCCTATTATAAGTGAAGATTAATATCTGCATTTTTTATTAATCACTTATCCAAAAGGCTATTCTGAGGACAATAGGAGCTGTAGATGTAAAAATGTTTTGAAAATACAAAGTGCAGGTTGTATTTATCATATGTCAAGACCATGTCACCCATTTCATCAATAAACATTCATGGTCCCCATGGCTAAGGCCCTATAATAAGGAAATAAAACCCAAACTCAAACTATAAATATAGTTGTCACATGGGAGATTACTTTTTAAAGACAGGATTCGCTAGGAAATAAAAGAGAAGTCTGTAGTGAACATTTCCAACACGAGTTCAAAATAGGAGTTACCTATTTCCTCCCCGTACCTTAACCTTCATTTCTGAGAGTGCTTTCAAAGACCAGCCTGCAAAGTTCCCCCTTACTCCTCTGCTCCACTACTAGGAAAGCCACCCCATTCTTTGCAGACAATAGTTCCTGAAACTATAGGATATAACTACAGTTATAAAAGTGATCGGCCCATTTTGTGTGGAGAACAGAATATGTGCAAACTCCCTATCCTGTGGGGAATTGTGTTACCCTGTTGAACTGTTATCATCCAACCCCCTTAAATTCCTAAAGAAGTCCTAAGCCCCAGTGTCTCAGAATGTGACCTTACTTGGAAATCGGGTTAGTGCATATGTAATTGGTTAAGATGAGGTCACACTGGAGTAGGATGGACCCCTAATGCAATCTGACTGGTATCCTCATAAAAAGGGGAACTGTGGAGACAGACAGACAGACAGACAGACACACACACACACACACACACACACACACACACACACACACACACACACACACACACACACGGAGAACACCGTGAGAAGAGACCCAAGAAGACAGTCATCTCCAAGCCAAAGAATGCCAAGGGCTGCCAGCAACCTGCCCGAAGCTGCGAGAGGGTCAGGGAGCTGATTCTTCCTTACAGTCCTCAGAGGGACTCAACCTGCTGACACCTTGATTTCAGATTGCTGGACTCTAGGACTGTGAGACAATAACTTTCTATTGTTTTAAGCCACCCTATTGGTGGTACTTCCTAATGGTAGCTCTAATGAATTAATACTACAGAGACTATAAATATATGTGGATCAAATATATTTATAGGGAGCAGGATGGCACATTTTCAAAGCAGCTCATTTAAGCCAGATTCATACTTAGGACAGTCAATATAAATGAAAAAGTAGTATTTGCTTAAATCTTCATCCACCTTTATCTTTCAAATACAAACAAATTTAAATTTTTGAAAGTTAAAAGAAGTTTTTTGATATATGATAAAACGCAAGTTGAATCAGGGAACACCAGAGTGCCACGAAATCACTTTTTCTCACGAAATCCTGCCTCTCTCTAGGAATACAGGGCAAACGGTTCCTGTGTTCTTATCACTCAGGCAACGATTAAAGAGCTGCCTTGAAAGAGGTCACCTGTGTCAGATAGGGAAGGATGGGTTCCCCAAGTGATTGCAACAAGTGATCAATGACTTTACCTTTGTCTTATGTTTAGAAACGTACAAAATCATACATATCAATTAAAAGAATAAACTAGTATTTCAAGCTAAAGTTACTGAAATATATTTGTCTATATATCCTTTCTTTCCTTTTTTTTTTTTTTCATTAATTCGAAGACGGTCACATTAGAAAGAACTTCATACGAAGCTATATAATATTCACAGATATTGGCATGTATGAATCTGAGTTTAGGGGCATTCTGAAAAAATTAATACTTGGAAAAACACATCAAAATTAGTGTCAGATAGTTTACAGGAAAAATACACACTGAAATAATTATAATATAAAAAAAGTATTATATTTTGGATCCGAGTTTTGTATTGAATTCCATTGTAACACTGGAAATTCTTACTGAAACCTAACAGGAGCAAACCAGAATTTACCTCTGGTGCTGAGTCCTTCTCAGAGAAGGTTACCACAGCAGTAGTCACGCAGCACTGTAACACCACTCATGAAGAACAGTCAGATCACACATTCCTTCCAAGTGGACAGAAAGGGGTAGGTGCAAAGCCAACAGTGATCTGGTGTCAACTACATGCCAAATGTTCTATGTCCTTATATTAGAATGTCTCCCTTACCCCTCAAGTTGCTCCTGTGAGTTAGGTATTTTCCTCACTTTTTTCAGATAAGAAATCTGGAGCTCAGAAGGGTTAAGTTTCTCACCCAAGGGCACACAGAGGCCAACAGGAAGCAAAGACTGGGTCATAGGAGTGACTGGTTTTCAAGCCCCTGGTCCTCTCGAGATATCGTGTACAAACAGAAATAAGAGAATCAGCCCACTTAACGTCCGTTTGCCCTTCACATTCATCTCCTCTCCTTTCCATTCATTCTCCACGTTACTCCATGGGGGTGGACTAGCCAATGTTTATTTACAGTCAAGAAGAAGACTCCAGGATTGCTTAACCTCTGAAAATGTACCTAACAATTAAAAAATCCTCCCTCTATTAATTATACTTGGCTGAATATTACTTACTGAAGGCATCACCTCCATTTTCAATGGTGCTACATGCAAACCTTATGCAATGGATTCACATGCAGTGAGCATTCCTTTCACGTTTTCCTCGAATAACTTAGTTGAAGTAATTTAACTGTAGAGCCAAGGCCAGCATCTGTCCCTGCAACCTCCGTCCCACCAAGTCGGGGTGCAGATTCCTTAAGGCTAACTCTAAACAGAATGTGGCTCTGCCTTTCCACACATGTTGCTTCACCTCCAGAGCATCCTCAGTTGTGGGGTTCCCACTATGCTGCCTACTCCCCGGGGGCACTGGGGACGGGGAGAGAAACAGCAAGTGAATCAACCAGCTATGGTGTATTGGGTTGATTTCGGTGACTCTTCACTATGCAGTGGCCTAACCCTGCCTGGGTTGCTGATGATCTCCAGAAGATGTGAGGTTGGGGACAAGCTTTTCATTAATTTCATTTGCCCATTCATAAAAAAGGGAGTGTGAAAATCTCTCAGAGAAGTGGTAAGAAACTAATTCATCGGCTGCACAATGTCACAGAGGGAGGCACGGAGACACCTAGACCTTGGAGCCCTGTGGGGCCATGTGGCCCAGCCCACCTTTTCGTAGTTGGAGTACCCCCCCATGACGGCCGGGTCCACGATGCCACTGAGCAGCATGGACAGAGGATGCACCGACAAGGACCGGTCCCAGGCATGCTGCTGAACACAGTTGCTGATCCTCTCATTGGTGAGTTCCATGGTTTCGATGGCATTCTCCAGAGGGCTGATTTCCTCCTGTGACAGAGAACAAGCGAGAGAAAGGACACATTGTGAACTCCACAGGGAAGACTGAAAAAAGTCCAAGTATTCCCCTCAAAAGGTATAAAATTCCCAGGAAGCTATGGAAGAGTGAGGTTTTGCTTGCCAAGGTTTTGTTTCTTAGGATAACACACATGTTTGAAACGGTGTTGGTAAGTTGCCAAATAAGCTTTTTGAAAACCTCCTTAGAAAGTACAAGGATGACTTAAAAATTGGAACCACGGTAACGATTATTTCTTGGGGCAACGTGTGTACAGAAATTTTGAAAAGAAAAACACTGGAGCCATAATAATGATTGCTTCTGAGGCAAAGCTTCCTCAAATATTGTTGAGCTCAGCGACAACAGAGTAACAGGACATCTGCTCTGAGACACTCGTGCACAACAGAAATATTCACCGGTGAGAGGTCTGATGCTTCTTCCACGAGAAGAGGAAGTGATTTTGGAAGTCATCCACTCAGTTCATATATAACTCATCTTAGTATGGCTTCCGTGGTTAACAGAAGTCAGAAATAATAGGATGTATTAGAATATTTAGGCTGAATTGTGGACGAAAATGAAACAAGATGCAATATGGATTCGGAGAGTACTCCTGTGGACATGTCTTCAAAACAAGGTTTCAAGAAAAATTGTCTCCTTTTTAACTTTACGCATTATTAGCCAGCATGACTTCCCACTCCAGGCTTCATTCCAAAAGTCTGTCTAAAAATCATATTCATACTTGAAGAGTAATAATTTACCACCAGGTATGGGACACATCGAGCTTCGGTTCAGATTTGTTCGGGACATATTTCTCGAATGCTTGTTTTATGCCAAGCACTGTGCTATGCACCACAGTTACAAAAGTGATTAAGATATAATTCATGGCTGGGAGGACCTCATGGTTTCAGTGGGGTTTCAGGATATGTGGACGTGGTAGGTAACTCATTAGAAATAAGCACAAGATGCGACAGGCAGAGAGAAAGGGCATCTAAGCCTGGGAATTTCAGAGATGGCTTCCTGGAGAAGCCGGTGCCTAAACTCAATCTGGGTGGGCGTGAGTTTGGTTGGGAAGTGGTGACAGGGCATTTTGGGCCGAGAAAATGACCCAATTTCATGGATAACTGAAAGAGCGTGAACTGAGCAGTTTAGTTCCAGAGGATTCCATAGGAGATGAGGTAGAAGGGTCGAGTCACAAAGACTCTGTATTAATGTGCTAAGGAGCACGGACTCTACACTCTAGGCACTGGGGAGCCATCACAGAAGTGTTTTAAGCATGAGAATGTGATGCAGTCAGGTTTTCACTATGGAACGCACACTCTGAGGCACTGAGGAAAACGGGCCTCAGAAGGCCAAAGCAGGGAAGCCAAGTAAGAGGCTTTTTCAATGGCATCAACCTGGAGATGAATGAAGGACTAGGAATAGGTATGGTATGGGGTCTGGAAGTAAAGAAAACAGATTTAGTAAATATTAAAAACATAGAACAGGCAGCTCTGGGGAGTGATGAAGATGGAGGAGTCTTGGATGACAGCTGATGTGATTAGCCGAGAATAAAAGCAGAACTGTTCTGAGAGGGAAGAATGTGACTGACAGGAAACGTAAAGGAAGCATTCCGAAAATGTTTTTGGGTGCTGGCAGGATCATCGAGGAGACAACACGCATCTGGTCACAAAAGAGTCATTCACTGTGAGTAACCTTTAGGGTTGGTGTTGTAACATCAGTTTTACAAAGGCGTTCTCTTAGACAAGTGTGCCTTTCATTTCTCTTTTGGAAAATGAAGCTGGCCAGAGGAGAGCTCGTGAGGACTGGAGGGGGGAATTTAACAAAGGCTCTTATTATATTTGGAGACAGAAAGATTTTTCTGAGTTCCATTTTCAAATGACTCACTGTCGAAATCTGTTTGACTTCGAACCACTTGAGAATCCCAGGAAAGGTATACGCGGTCGTATACGTGGTCCTTTCAATCCACATGGTCTGGAGGGAGGAAGGGAAAGGGAAAATGTGGGTTAGTTCCCGGGCTCTTAAAACAGCAAAACTCCCTGGTACGGTTTAGTGAGATTCCTTCCATTCACCACCGTCTCCTTAGAGAAGGGGCCCTGTTTTCTCCAAAAATGTAAGGACTCTGCATGTTAAAAGCTGAGGATTCTGGAGGTTGAAAGCTGAAAGGGATCCTTTCCTTCTAGGTGGGAACTTCGAGGTCTAGACCTGCTCAGAGTCATAGTGGTAGCAAGCCCAGGAACAGAGCCCAGTTTCTGGACTCCTGGTCTAGCGTTTTCCACCAAGAGGATGGCCTGCGTCTTGGTGGTAAGCATGCGAAACCTCTATCCTTCCACCATTTCTGCTGTATATGCGGGTTAGGTGGAAGGCCTAACCCATTCTGGATGTCAATTTTACCTTTCAGTAGAGGGCCAAAGGGGTGGACTCACGGCAAATTCATTGTCAGGATCCTTCTCTCCTTTCCGGAAGGGCCGGGAATACTGGAACTGCTGCACTTCGTTGGCTCTGTAGTAGCTGGGGAAAGACACAGCCACACGCTGTCGCTCCCTCTTAGAACCACTCCCTGACCTGACTGACTGCAAGGAAACCTGGGATGCGTCTTACACAGACTGAGTCTCAAAACCGACAGTCGCCGTGATGAAGGCTCTGGAGTTGGCACAGTTTGATTTTACTGCATGTCTTAGTTTTATTATCTATGAATCTATCTCACAGCTCACAATTTGAAAGGGTATAAGTACATATGTCCATGTCATCTGTGTAGTTTTATAACAGTTATATGAGCCTTTTAGCTTCTCAAGAAAGCTAAATTCAGTCACTGGGGAATTCACCAGGCAAGGTGCGGTCAGCTGCTACTGACCATTGAATCCTTCCAGGGGAAATAAGAGCTAGGAAGTGTGAAACCTTAGAGTGAAATTCCCCATTTCCTCTCCTCTGTTTAAAAAGCAAAATCCCCAAATTCCTTTGAGATATCACACTCTTATCTTATACTGGAAATGGAACGGACAGTTGCTATGGTCTGAATGTTTGTATCCCCTCAAAATTCTTATGCTGAAATCCTAACGCCCAATGTGGTGGTGTTGAGCGGAGCTGGGCCCTTTGGGAGGTGATTAGGTTGTGAGGGTGGAGCCCTCATGAATGGGATTAACGCCTTTATAAAAGAGGTCTCAGGGAGCTCCCTCTCCCAGGCGAAGACACAGTGAGAAGACAGCCATCTATGAACCAGGAAGCAGGCCCTCGCCAGACACCGAATCTGCCAGTGCCTTGATCTGGGACTTCCCCACCTCCGGAACTCTGAGAAATAAATGTCAGACTGTTGTTTATCAGCCACGCAGCCTATGGTATTCTGCTGCAGCAGCCTGAATGAACTAAGACAGCAGGTCTTCCAAATTGTAATGAACTGAAGACTTTGGTTTTGATGTGCTTCTAGGTAAAGTGTATGAAAGGCAAATGTTTTTAGGAACAAACAAGAAGACCCATTTACTTTAAGATCTGCTCTGGAACTGGCTTATCCTTGTAGCTGGGCGGCAGGCTCATCACTGGCTTGACGGTGAAACACTGCATGTCTGAAGAGCTCGTTAAGGAAAAGGGGCTGGGCCATGAAGCCGTCCCAGGCAGAAAGCACTGCTTGCTCCTCCTGCTTTACGGATGAAAATGGCACCTGCACTGATCATTCCTTTATACCAAATGCCAGGAACGCGTTGAAAATGGGGCTCCCTTACATATTACCCGAATGCCTTATTAAGTCATCCTCCTAGACATTTCTGGTCAGACACCTGGCAAATCTTCCCATAGGAAAACAGAGAAAAATACACATCAATGAAATATTTTTAAAACGCTGGTTGGAAACTGTTTTAACTCATTTCTTTTCAACAAGCATCCCTCCGAAGTAGCCAGACTCCAGAGCCCAGGCAGTAAAAGTTCTTGTAGCTCTGGATATCATTTGTTTATTGAGGGCCATAGCTGGGCACCAAACAAGGTGTTTTGAAAATGTTACCCCCAATAAATACAATGACTACCGGGTAGATGCTATTAACCTCCTTTTACTGATGAAGAATCTGAGGATCTGGGAAAACCCAGATGACACAACTGGTGAATGGTGAAGTCAGGCTTCAAAACCAGCTCGGTGGTAAGGCCTTCTTCTCTGATTTAATAATCTGATCTCAGAAATGACTTTTTTGTTCTCACCAGTGCAGATATAGTGTTTCCAAATCTTTAGCACTTAAACGACAGTTTAAGGTCTAGACTTAACAGTGACTACCAGTATTTCTCCAAGTGAAGTGTGCAGTCTACCTGTACCAGAACCACCTGGAGATTTACTCAAAATGCAGAGTTAGAATTCGCAGCTGCTGAATTAGAATGTCTCCACGGTGATTCTTATGTGTAATAAAATCCAAGGATCACTGGGCTAAGCCTTATGCCATTAGAGCTTACAAAACATTTTTTCATAAGTCATCTCCTTCTTATTTTGATCCTCACGGAAGTGCTACAAGGTGTTTTAGGGAAAAGAGATTTGCCCTCACACCTTTGAGATGAGAAGACCAAAGGCCTGGAGAAATTAAGCAACTTGGTCAAGGTCAAATGGCTATGCAGAAATTACTGAAGGCCAAGTATCAGGACTTGTTTTTAAATCCAATTTTTAAAGACCTCTTTTCATTCCCACACCAAGAATGCTCCTCAATTGTTTTCTGAACCTCCATAATCCAAAGCTTTCCCCTTTGGAAGTCTTTTCTTTTCCAAGCGTCCAGTGTGTATTAACAGGCCACTACTGCTCTTAAAGGTGCATCTGTCTAGTGATCTATTATTATTGTCTATCTTTCTGTGGCTACTTACCAATCTATATCTATAATAATTGCTAATATATATTAAATTTTTATTACATACAAGGCACTGTTCCAAGTATTTTACATATATTTACTCACTCAATCTTTATAAGAACTCAGAAGTAGAATGATCATCATCCCCATTTTATAGATGAGAAAACTGAGGCACAAAGAAATTAAGAAACTTGTCCAAAGTGATACAGTGTTACTGAGCTGGGGCTCGAAACCAGGCAGTTTGCCTCCAGAGCCCGTTCTCTTACCCACCATGCCATACCGGCTCTGTCTTATCAACCTCTCTTAGAACACTGTTCAACTTCATAACACCTTTATTTGGGCATAAAACGCATTAGAAAGTTTTAAAAATAATTTTGTTATGGAGCCCTTAGTGTTAGCTTTTTAAAAGAAAGCACATAAATGATCTTTCAATAAATCAGTATATGTTACAAAAAAAAGAGCTATACATCTTTATCCAGAATCTAGAATTCAGGACCAGAAGTCTATGTCCTCAAGCTCCCCATATGGCTTTAAAATATATCCTTTCATATTCAAGATTTGATCATCGTCTCTGTCCTTTAATTACTTCATAACCATGAAATGAGGACATTAAGGTCCCAAAGAATGGGAAATAGTTCGAATGGTTAAGTGAGTGGTCTTAGGATAGGACATATCTACACACACAGGAGACTGAACCCTTAGCTCCTTTGGCTGGGCTGGGACAGCAGAAGGTTACAAAGCCTGTAGGCCGGGTCTCCCCACGACAAGGATACACTGCTTTGGGGAGCACTTGATTTCCTCGCCTGGGGGTGTGGTGCTGGTCATCTTCTCGGCACTGGGGAACTGGGTCAGCAACCTCAGGCTGAAGTCTTCTCGTCTCTCATACTCCTTCCCCCGGTAGATGAATATTTTGTTCTGCAGGTCAGAGACACCAAGGGAAATACTTAAATATGAAGAGTGAAGGGACAACTGGAGATCTTGGTACAGAAGGAGACACTGTATGCCCTAGCCAAAGTGCAATGAGCCATGTGCCCCACAGCAACCATCATATCTGACAAGAGCCATCGTTGACTTGAGGAATTAAGTCATAGGCATAAAATTACTTTGTGCAGAGCTTTGTATAGTGTGGCCCAATGACCACAGCTAGTGCAGTCTACACTGATCCACAAAAAATAAGGAACTTGTGCCCTACTGTACATCCCTGGCATTGCCAGGAATGCTGTTTAGTTTAGCTGTTATTTTTCATAGCAAGACATTCTCAGTGAAGGAAGGAAGTACATTAATTTATATTCAGCAAGCTCCTCATCTCATCATGATCTAGTAACTGTGTGGACCAGCATTTTGCATGGAACGACCTTAGGGGATATGAAAGTACAAAGAGAATCAAGACAACACATCTTTCAACACAGTCATATAGTAACAGAGAACAGGAATAAGTTATAGTAGTCCCTAGCCAATCCCGAAAATCACTGTGGATGGCTACATTGAAGTCTCACAGAAAGTGACTGCACAAATTATCCTCTCCATTGCCAAGTGCAGTTATTTTCCTCTTTAATAAAACTAAATTTAAAAAAAAATAATAAATTTCCTAGGCCCCAGGCATAGGAGTAATTTGTCTCACAGTTGCCGCCCGTGCAAGTTCAAATGTAGCCATGCTTTGAAGGTCAGGCCTCAGATGAGTACTTAGCATTGGCAGCCCACACATGATCTGTTTTTAACTAAAACTTGGGCTTGTATTGTTCTGTAAAATGTCTTAAAAATCACTTGTCCGTTCCTATAACAAATCTGTACTGAGCAAACAACAGATATGCTAGACACCGAGGATTAAATATTGACCCCATTCCCACAAATCTTACTTTCTAGTGGAGAGAAACAGAAGATAAGTAAACACATAAGTAAATATCGTAATTTTAGATAGTATAAGTAATGCAAAGGCAATACCTCTTCTAGGCTAAACACTGACATCAGTAAAAATCATCCGATCTTTGGGAATAGATGATAAATTTTTTCCAAGCTGGGAAAGATTTATGTGACTGATTCATGCATTACACAATTCTATAATTCAGGCAAAACTGTGGACAAGGGATGAGAATATAATAAAATACTAATTGTATGATGTGGACAATAACTGTGAAAGGAACCAGACAAGCAGCAGGTCAGCTCGACAGGCAAACTAGCTCAGTGTGAAAGACAGGACTCCAAGGAAGATGTGAGATTTGACTGGGCCTAGATGGATGAATAGGGCAGAGAGGAAAAACAAGGGAAGAGGACAACCACACACGGTAAGCGACAAGGACAAGGCCCAAAAGATGGAG